AGAAAAGTGCGTTCCAACGACCTATTGAACAAAGGTAGCTTGCGAGTATTAGAGACGGGGGACGCAAAACACAAGCGTGCCTCATCCGTTGGCGATTTGAAGAGAAGCGTGCCCACATCGCTTATTACCCCGATCAAGAATTGGAGTGCCCAGGAGTAAGTATCGCGGTATCTTGGGCGTAGAACATCTCATTAACGATGCATAGTGAGGTCATAGCCGACAGTTGGTTCGAGAACCTGCGCAACCATGCACACGTCTTGCTAGACAGGTACCAGGATGACTCCTTCAAGCAAAAGAAGACCGAGCGACGTGTAAAGATCGCTGTACTCGACAGTGGAGTTGCCAAGAGCGCTGCTCGAGGCCCAGTCCCGCCGCTGATGAAGAGTCCACGAGTGAAGCTAGGGAAGCAGCTGGATCCGGCCCTGCCCTGGAATTGCGATAGTAAAGGCCACGGTACCCATGCCGCTGGTGTAATCCTCACTGTCTGTCCGTACGCAGATGTGTATGTGTACAGGGTCTGCGAAGGTAACGAGGCGATCAACAGAAAATACGTGGCGGAGGCCATAAACGACGCTGTCGAGAAGAAGAAGGTCGATATAATAAGTATGAGTTTAGGCTGGGATGAGAACAGTGATCTCGGACTTCGGGCGGCCATCGAGCGTGCAAGAGCTAGTAGTGTGCTACTCTTCGCGGCGAGTTCAAATGAAGGTATTCGAACAAAAGCTGGCATGGCGTACCCAGCTCGCGCATTGGAAGTCATTGCCGTCGACGCAGCGGATGTCCATGGCAATCCGTCCAAGTTCAACCCCCCACAACTCAGAGATAAAGCCAGGTTCACTGCTCTGGGCGAGGCGGTGAGATCGACATATCCTTTGCACCTTCCTTCGGAAGATCCAGATGATGGCTTCAAGAGGATGGTAGGAACATCCTGCGCTACCCCCATCGCTGCCGGTATTGCAGGACTAGTACTAGAGTTTGCCCGTCAACGACCGCTTTGCTTCGAACCTGCCATCGAGGCCCACCTGAAGTCGGTAGAGGGTATGAGGCTGATCTTGACGAAATGCTTATCGCACAAGTATGCGGACAACTCACCATTCAACCATCTCGACCCGATGATCTTGTTTCATTGTACGGAGAGAGCTAGTGACGGAGGTGGCTTTTCCGAATATCTGTCGCCGCGATCCAGCGCAGCGTACAACATCGTGACAAAGCTGCGTGAAGAGTTCTCGCCGGATATTGGGATGCAAATGGGGGTAGAGCTCCAAAGAGAATGGGCAAGAGGCGTTCACAGCAGCACAGAAGAGAGTTGACATTCGTGGTTTCGATGATCAGAAGAAATCCCGATAAGGGTCCAACGCGTTCAGAACGCGCTAGTGCACGTCCCGGTGGCTCTGGCATGCGTCATCATGTAGGGGAGGTCCTTGTACCACTATCCCATCTAATTCAACTTAAACTGAAGGGCTCCGTGTGATGTCCGGCTTCACAAGACCAGCTTCCTACAACTTGATAGTTGCACTAATGGCAAAGCAGACAACATTATCACCATCACAAGCCGACGCTAAGATACAGGGTGCGGAACCGAGATGTCCGCTGTCGCACCGACACCTATCCACGCGTTGTCACACCAGAATTGCTCGAGCCAAGATTTCCACTTACGAACACCACCAGCACCGCTGCGTAGCTGACGTAGAATTAGCTTTCGAAAAAGAGATTGAGATCTGAGACTTACGCCGCCGTGGCTGCGAATACCTCGGATCGCTTCGCAGCAGTGAAGATACTGACGCTTCCAGCGAACAACAACATGAATACGCCGATCATGATTAGCTTCGTTTTGGGGTTGTCGGCATAATATAGGACCAGAATTGGGACGAATAGCAGGACGACCGCGATGATGACGCTGACGATCGTTACGAACCTCGCGATTCTCTTCTCTGGAACGTAGGCCATACCATTCTCTCTTCTTTCTGCCTTCGCACTCTACATCAGCACGTTTTTAGGGCAGTAGAAACTGGGTTGTACGCACCAAAAAGAGGACTGGAAGATATTGCTGCACGAATGTAGTGACACGGTCTTCGTGTGCTGGTTGTTTTAAGAGAACCAGATCATCGTTTCTTTCATACAGGGTAGCACTATGGCCCCCGAAAATCGGATCTCGGTGATTTGCAGCCTTGTTGAAGCGCGTTGAGGCATGATGAACAGCGTCAAATGTGCGTACTGGGGGCGGTCCGAGTTGCGCTATTTGGCTTTCGAATAGCAGTGCCTTTCCTTTGACGTATTCAGCATGTTGTTTGAGAATTCGGACTGGCATCGGGAATTACTATACTCTTGCATCTTTCTCCGTATCTTTTCCATTAGATCCATTCGATTTCGTTGTTTAATATTTGCAGGGTCATCTGCAGCATTTCTGAACGCCTCCCAGTTCATAGCACATCTTCCGGTAGCCAGATCATTATTCTCATAGCTTCGATCTTCGCTATCCAGCTGTTCCTATTGGCATACGATATTAGCAGGTCGTCTCAACGAATTCGAACTGATCCAGTGCGTACTTGCATCGCCTCGAGTTCAACCAGCTCACTTTGCAGATAGAGCAAATTACGCACAGCGAGCTTATCAAAACGTCTAAATACCAAAGACGTTCGATCTGGGTCGCTTGCAATGTCGTCGGCAAGTGAGGGATACCCGTCCAGAGGCCGCACAACACCAAACTGTGAGGCCAGCATCGTGGATTTGTTGAGTGTTGTGGCGATGAGAGACCTGCGCGGCACAATCATGTCCGGATTCTGCCTCGTTGGTGACACAGACCGGTGAAGAACCCCGCAACGCACACTGCATGCCAAGTGACTTATCAGCCAGCCAGCAATTTCATCCACAGACAATAATCCCCTCGTCGTATCTTTGTGATCTCTACACGTACCGGCATCCGCAACTTCGTGTTCGTGAATACGGGTGCCTGCCATCACTATCTCTACACATTCCGAACGCCTTCCAAACCCATGGCCGCCATCAATCCGCACCAACAAGAAGTTCCGATATCACGTTACACTACCGAGTCAAATCTATCTTACTTAGGCTATGAAGAAAGCTTCGACGAGGTACGACAAAAGACCCAGCACTCCTGAGAAGCAGACGCTTAGACATACCTTGCGCAGAGCTGGTATCAAGAATACCTCCGGGATCGTGAATATGTCAAATCAGGTCTCGACACCTATCAGGCCTCAGTCGACTTGGCTTCTAATCCGTACACAGAAAAACGGCGTCAAGAATCCGAAGCAAACAAGCGAAAGTTTGCTAAGATAGTCACGGAAGGCATCCACCCGAAGAGGCGCCGTCGGGGTCTTCCACTACTTCTCGAAGCACACGGTGGACTACAAGAAATCATGACCTGCTACGATACTGGCACGCATGAAAACCATATGTCGTATACAAAGGCGGTCGAGATGGGTTATACCATCAATATCAGCAACAGTCTCGGAGCATGTTTTGAACTCCCGAACGGAAAGATAATTCGAGCGTTGGGCTACGTCGACGTGGCAGTTCAGTTTGCGATTCGTATGGTTCCAGAAGCAGCGTCCATAGTCTGCCGTTTCAATGTCTTTGAACAGCTAGCTCGTCCAGTACTCATCGGTATGACGTTCCTTCGAGCCACAGAGACTATTACAAAATACACTTCGCGCTTGGTTGAGCTCCCGGAGACTTTGAAGCGCCCACTGCGTTCTTATTCAATGGGAAACGCGACCAACCAAGTTAAGTGCATCATTAATGGGATAGGTTTCTCTGCATCTGCAGACACTGGATCAGACATTGCTCTGATCAGTGGGAAATTTGCTCGCCAGCGTGGGTTCCAAATTCTGGACGGCTGTGAAGAGCTTGAGCTGGCTGATGGATCACTCGAATACACCAGTGGGTTCGCAGACGTCGAAATCTGTGTGTTGAATTCTGCCCTTTGGGAAACTAAGTCAGCATCGGCATCGACACGCAGATGGAGATTGAAATCGGGGACGAAAGTAAAGATAAACAAGATACGTTTCCACGTGTTGGAGAGCCTCCGAATCAACGTCTTACTAGACGAAGAAAACAGCGATATTTTGGATGTCTTCCAGGATGGAATCGCACGTTTCATGTCTGCTGCACCCAGCGTTCTACCTAGTATATCTCCGATCATTCGCTTAGGCTCCGTCGAAGCTGCTATTACGCGGGCAACCGACAAAATGAACGAGAAAACAAAGCATTTGGGGACCTCAATTCGGTCGAAGTGTACCTCAGTGCTATCAACGTCAAAGTCATCGTCAACGTCAACATGTTCGCCTAGCGCTGCAACTCCGGGTAAGCAGAAGCCTTTTTTGTCCCCTATCATAGCCGTTTTTGACAAGCCACAGTGAGCTCAACGGGCCAAAACGATGCTATATTACAGGACTTGGCCAATGTAATACCTCACCTGATCATCACACTAGATCAAGCGGAAAATCGCCGGCTTGATCGCATAGAAAGAAGAGGAACATCGGCTACTGACGACATAGACAAGCAACGGTACACTGATGAACGTGAGAAGCTCTTATTGGAGCTACAAAAGCTGAACAGCACACTAGCTCCTTGAGTTGCGCACGATCCGAATGGTACGGATGTACCAACACATGCCTGCGAGGAACAAGAGCAAGATGTAACGGAGGTTTCTCTGGTTTTCCGGAAAGGGAGGGCCTTCGACGAAAGATTTGATGGACTTGATCCTTGACGGGCCGGTCTGGGCGCATGCCATGGGGCAAATAGCTGCTTTCCCTGCAATAGTGGCGCATTTATAGGCTTGCGCGTAATGTATGATAGAGGAACCAGTCTGAGACCATAATATAACCTCTCACGTTAATCTAAGGGAAAAAGCTGAACAGGTCTGCAGCCTACAATAACTTAAAAGATATGAAAAGTAGGTGGCTTAATGTCGATGTAGGCTCTAGGCATGTTCAGTTTTGTTCTTGTATGATGTGCTCTTCACATAAACCCATAGATCCTCACCGCCGCCCATTCAACATCCTCCCCTCCTCATCCCCCTCCTCCAGATCACTAAGTTCAAACTCCTCCGCATTCCTCAAGCTCTCCTCATCCCCCTTGACCTTCCCCCAGCCCTTCTCATCCGCAGGATTAGGAAACGGCTCCGCACACCCCCGATTCCTCAGCGCAGGATAATACCTCCTATACGTGTAATGCGCCACAGCCATACCCAGCACCGACCCCACACTAACATCGTAAACATCATGTCTATAGTCTTCACAACGCGAAATCGCAATAAGCGCTGCGCCAAGCAGGGGTGCGAGAGCGAGGAGGACGCGGGCGAGGTCGGCGCGTGGGCGGTAGACGTGGCATTGGCCTGCGATGAAGAGGGCGAGGTAGCCGAGTCCGCTGAAGGAGAAACTGCTATGTCCGCTTGGGAAACTGCGCCACCCGTCGTGTAAAACGTGATGATTCGTTTCGGTGCAGACGTCAAAGGTGACGAGTTGGTGTGCTGGCGTGCCAGGAGCGGGTTTGCATCGAGCGATGAGATCGGGGCGGGGGCGACCGACGGCATTCTTGATCACGTCGGTGATGAACATGGTGAGGATCATGCTGATGAACCAGCCGAGGATTGTAACGTGCGCTTTGTGCGTTCCGGGGCGCAGGACAAGGGCCCAGGCGATGAGGACGCCGAGGGGCACGGCGCCGGCGTAGATGAAGAGCCAGGAGACGGGGACGCGTTCGTGTTCTGCGTGGGGGTAGTTGATGGCGAGGTTGTCGAGGAAGAACATGCGGTGGAAGGGTTCGGCGAGGAATTGTATCTGTGCCTAGTTTGTCAGTCTTGCTTTCTTGTTGAAACCGAGAGGGGTCATTCTGGTATTGTGATTACGCACCAGTATGTACCCGCATACTAAGATGGCAATGCCAACATAATCCGAGGCATACGAGCGCTGCAGATGTGTGTTAGCTATCTCTATCCATGCGTAAACCTCGCCTCATCGTGAATTCGCTCACCTGCCAGAAGCGCGCCGCCGCGCCTAGGAGACCAGGCGAGTTCAACAGCTCATTGGAATTGAGCCTGTGTGTTGGAGCAGGCATGGTTGCGTGGTCAGCACGCGCGCATGGTAGTCGAGGTTTAGCAAGCGTCTTCGGAGGTGTGTCTTCAACTCCGCAAATGCAGGGAGAAACGCGCTAGTGGGGGCGGCTTGCGTCACTCAGGGTACACGCCTAACGTAAAACACCATGCACCGTCCCTAGACTATATCCATCTCGAATTCCACAATGACTATGCAAGACACAAACCATCCCATCTCAATACTTTCCTGCTAACAACATCAATACGTAGAAGCCAACATACCCAACCTCCCTCCATCAACCACAACCACACTCCCATTCAAATACCCCCCAGCCCTTCCCGCCATCCACAACACCGCGCCCGCAATATCCTCCTCCTTGCCCGTCCTGCCCTCCGGTACAACACTCCTATCCACCTCCCCATTAGGCCCTTTCTCCAACGACCCAATAATGCCCATCGCGAGCTCTGACGGGAAAATGCCCGGCGCAAGTACATTACAACGGATACCGTAAGGCACAAACGCCGTAGCCAGCATCTTGGTCATATGCGTAACAGCCGCTTTACTGCTATTGTAAGCGAACGACGCGCCGGGTAAACGCGAGAAACCGCCGATACTCGATGTTGTTATAATTTGAGAACGGACATCAGCGTGCGCGGTTTTCCTGCTGTTTCCCGCGTCGAGGAGCGTGAGGAAGGACAGCGCCGTATAATATACCGCCGTGTTGTTCACCGCATACGTGTTGGTAAAGTCGGCCATGGGCGTCTCGAGCGCGTGTGCTGCGTACTCTGCGACTGACGGCGCGGCGCATCCTGGTGCTGCTTTAAGCGGCTTAGGGCCCATGATGCCTGCGTTGCAGATTAGGAGGTTGATGTAGCCTGTCTCGGTCTCGACGTGCTTTGCGATTGAGAGAAGAGATTCGCGTGAGGTGACGTCGCCGGGTAGCGGGATGACGGTTTCTGGGTTGATGCTTTTGGCGGCCGAGTGGAGGACGTCTGGACGGCGGCCTACGATGTAGATGCGGTGGGCGCCGTTGGCTGCTAGGGCTTTTGCCATCATCAATCCAATGCCTGGCGTTGTTAGAGGAGTGCTGTTGGGTCTGGTATGTGGGTGGGCTACCAGTTCCGCCTCCTGTGATGACGCCTACTATGCCGTTGACGTTGAACAGCTCGTTGGCTGAGAGGTTTGTAGACATCTTTGGACGTTTGAGCGTGGGAAGCTTTGCAAATGCGGCCTTATGGCGTCGTTGCTTGAATATATGTCATTGCTACGGCTCCACCTTCCGAACATGATGATTTCTGTACGACCAGCGTGCTTGCCGTGCTCGGCTGGAATGATGGGTGGTGACTTCCCTTTCCATCTTCCTTGGCAGTTTATCATGCAGACCCAAAACGTCAAGGACGGATTCTGTAAAGTGAAAGCCCATTCAAATGTGTTGGTGAGGTACGGACAAGCGCGGTATCAGTCGATGTGCATTATAGCGGAGACGTTTTCTGCAAAGTAGTCGTGCCTCATAATACCGTGATCCAATCAACATTACCACCTTCCTCAAAAATGCCAGTATCAACAAACACATCAGCCGATTACTCCCGAGGTCACTTCTCCGCATGCCAGCTTTTCCTAGCGGTAACCCACTTGAAACTCGCACACCACCCCTCCACCTCCCCCCGTTCCGACCGCTCAACATAATCATAAATCTCTTTTTGCGCGACCAATATATCAGCTCTCAACTCCTCTGCTGTCCAAACCCTCGTCTTACTCCCCCACTGCGTCAACAGCCTCAAGCAAACCGGCTCAAACATCTCCATACCAAGCACAAACATCATCTTGCCAAGCGATCGCTGCGCTTCGTCCTTTGGCCATTGTCCGACTGGCACGTTGACTTGGGTCGTTTGGACGTCTTCGAAGCCTGCTTCTTCGAGATAGGTGTGGTGCATGTAGAAGAGGCCGAGTGGACGGCCCGATTTGAATGATGCTTCCATGAACGCCACGTAGAGTTTCCGTAGGGTAGGCATGGGTATGTTTGCTGCTGTGATCTCCCCTGGGCCCATGGGCACTTGGCCGAGATCCCAATCTGCGAGTTCGATACATCCACCGGGTGAGAGACTCTTGTAAATCTCGGTATATACGTCTTCCCAGTGCGTAAAAGAGCCCTTCATGTTTCGTAAATGTATGAGCTCAAAGGAGTCGCTAAAGTGCCAGCCAGGTTCAGGCTGGGGAGTAAGTGTTGAGAGATCAATAGTCAGATGCTCTTCGGGCGTAGGCTCTCTTCCTTGCTGACTGAGATCGACCGTGGACTTGGGCTTCCTCAGCGCGTCGATGGGAGTCCGATTGGCCAATTCATTGGCTAGATCTAGAGTAGCGAGCTGGTTGATCAGCTGGTCGACATCCATCTCTTTCCCCCAGACGTCAAGGTCGTCCAGCTCCCATGTCACCCTGGCATCGCCCAACGTGGCTTCGGTGGTGTCTATGTCCCATTCCGTCATGTCAATTCCGACAACTTCCGCGTGCGGGTATTGACGCGCCATGGCAACAGCCCAGTGACCTGGTCCAGTGCCTAGGTCAAGTATTCTTCGGGTAGTAGGCAATAGTTTCGCAGTGGTAAGCTTTCCATGGAGTGCTCGGACAAAGATTTCATGCTGTAGAGACAAACGATCCTGCTCTACGAAGTCGTTATGCAGCTTGTATACGCACGGTAGGTAGTACGTTTCATTGCCGTACGTTCGTCCATTTTCATGGAAATATTCTAGATCGTCGGAAGCTAATGTGCGGACAGAGCGACTGTCGAGATAGGCGTCAGCTTTGTATACCGTGCGATGGTATTTGGTGGCTGATCACCCGTAAGGCTACAGCAATCGTTGTTGATCCTTGGAGACTGCCGAGTGGATCTACCCAGGTGCCCCAACGACCACGTCACAACGCAGAGTGGCAAATAACTGCAAGAATAGAAGACAGCAACGTACTTAGACTCGATCGACGAGATACTCTCCGAGTCAGCCCGTCGGCGTTTGAGTGGAGCGCCTGTGAGAGGGGCAACCACGTCGCCGGGTGGTGGCTGTCCCTCGTCCATGGTCTCGGAAAGCCGATGCAAAAGATCTAACAGTTCTCGTTAAACAAATAAGACAAGAATGACAGGTAGACGGAAGAAGTAGAAATCATTCGTCTCTTGGGTATGTGCTGCATCCGTAGTACCCTAGCAAACGGGTGCTAAAAGCTGAGGTTCTGCATGCTAAGCGATGGTCGCTTGATGCTGGGGGCGCGTGGGTACTGCGTATACGGTCTACATGTGCTGGACCGTAAACGGAAACGGGCGACTTACGGCGAGAAGATCTGCAGGCGATAGAGGAAATCGCGCTATGTGGGTGACTGACGCGATAGTTGATGGTACGCGGGCGACCGACGTAGACGTGTTGCAGCACGTTAGTAAGAGGTGGTCAGGACCGCCAATACCTCTGTTTGCTAAGAATTAGGCCTCGACCGATGCTCATCAGACTCTGAACAGCCACAAAAACGGTACGCAGGCTCAGCTGCCCGCTGACTTCTAATCATGTTGGCTCTGACACGGACGAATTACCAACCCAGCTTTAGACAGCAGGCTATCTATGTTCGACCTTCGGGCGGGATGATTGACGAAGGGATGCGCTGATACTGAGTCAACCCGTTGGTGACATGAATGCGTCCATCGCTATGTTACAACGCAATCTCCGGTTCGTGCTACGTGTTCGCAGGTGTTAGCGCGTAGGAACCCAGACCCTGCTGCCGGCTTGCAGCATGTCACAAAAGGTCGTAGCACAAGTCCAGAACCAAACTGAAGCAGCCTCTTGCTGATACTACCGCGGAGAGCAGAGTCCTAGACGTCTCAGCTGGGCTCTAGGCACAGACTTTTGGCGCCGGGCTTTTTGACGGTGCGGCCATGCTACCGGCGCCAGCGGAGCGGATCCAGTAGATCGTCAACCGGACTGCCGGGAGTGAATGCACCGTCTTGTAGCTTTTTGCACAATGTGTAGGGCACATTTGCTTCGAGGCCTTTTGCTTTGCTTCATCCCAGACCATCCTCCTCGGAGACTTTTCACACCTAGCACGCAGAGAAGTAAGCTCGACGCGGACGAGTCATTGCTGGTCACCTTTGATCCTAGCAGATGCAGCGGGTGCCGCCCGATGTATGTACGAACCAGAGAATCGACGGGTTGGCGACCAGGGATGCCGGGTATCAAGCTGTTGGTGCTGGTAGGAGTAATCTATCTTTTGTCTCCATCAAAAACCATACATAGCAAGTGATAGACAGCAATGACCGACCAGCCTATCGAGGAGCATTCCAGCTGTGAAGTCGGTCGGGCGATCTTGCAGTATACGGGAAAGGTGCCGGACAACCCGGATCCCGGGAGGTGCAACCAGAGTGAGGCTGATATGCAGGCCCCCTACTCTTTCTGATGCGCATCCGTGCCGCGTCCATATGTCCGAGGGGGGTTTTACATAGCGGGTCAGAGTAAGCAGGAGAGTTGTCTGTGGAGAAAAGGTGAGACTGAAAGGTGGCGCGAAGTGCGGTGTGCTAAAGTATTGAACGCACAGTTGCGGCGCGGGCGAATTACACCTCGCGGTGTTGTACACGGAAGGAGCGAGCGACAACATTGGCAAGCGGAATACGCTGGATTTTTCCGATTCATATCAAAGTGACGTCAATTCTAATACACAGGCTACGTTTCTCATTAGGACGCAGTTCTTCTATAGACATGCTCTATACAATCAGTCGACCTCTTGGCCCTCAAACTTGGGTAACCGTGCGGCAACATCTGACCAGGTCTCTTCACCCCTCACGATGTTCGCAACGGCCTGAGCAATCTCCTCGAGGCTTGCGCGCACTTGGCCAGTAGTGTCTCGGTCTCTGAGTGTGAATGTGTTGTCCTTGATGGACTGGAAATCGACGGTGATGCCGAGAGGTGTACCAAGCTCATCGTTACGCTGGGACGTGTTAGACTCGGATCGAGAATACAGGGTAAACGGAGTACTTACGGCATAGCGCTTGCCGATTGAGGCACCGGAAGCGTCGACGCGGTTGGAGACACCAATCTTCCGCAGTTTGTCCTTCAGTTTCCGTACAAACGGATCGAAGTCTGGGTTTGAGCTGAGCGGCACGATAAGCACCTTGGTCGGGGCGACGGCCGGAGGGAAGGACAGGACAGCCTTGGCTTCGTCATCCTCACGGGTCCAGTAAACGTGTTCACATAGAGCCTGGTTCAGTCAGCAGGGTATACATAGCTCTCAACGCATCGGCACTTACGTAGAATATGCGGCCAATACCAAATGACGGCTCGATGACGTTTGGTGTGTATTCTCGTGTGTGTTCTACTCGGGTCTGTTTCGATATGGTGATGAGCTCCTTTGGTACCTCGACCTTGCCATCACCAACTTCAGGAACGTCAATGACGATCTTGCCCTCCTTCTCTAGGTCTAGAGATAGCTTCTCACGGAGATCTTGCGACAGTGCTTCGATGGCCGCTTCGACAGTCTTACCATCCTTCTTGAAGGTGGGACCGAACTTCTTCTTGTCAAGTTGGCATTGCCACTCTTCAACCTTCTTCGGCTCCTTTAGTGTTTCACGGACAATGAGAGGTGCACCGGTCTTCTTCATGTGGACTGAGAGATCGTATGCGCTACGGTCAGCACAACCGACACACTCGATCCAGCCGTATGATGTGAGCAGCTCAGCGTCCCAGCAGTCGGCGGCGTAATGGGCCATTTCATTGGCCATGTGCTGCCTAAAGCGAATCTTCTTTGGGTCGACGCCGAGCTTAAGCAGGAACAGCTGGATACGGGCCAAGAAGTAACCCAGTGTCTCGTTGTCGACTAGACCCGTCTCGACAGCCTTGCCAATCTTGGTGGTCTCAACAGTGGTCTTGCCCGAAAGCTGTACATCCCGGTTGAGCAGCTCAAGCTCAACATCCTTGACCTCCTCGAAGCGTGGGTGTTTCTTGCCGCCCTCCGGGTCGACAAAGTGCTCGATCTCAGCCATGAGGAATTCTCGCACACGTAGCAGACCCTGTCGCGGGGAGATTTCGTTGCGGAACGATTTGCCGATGGAGGCAGAGGCGAAGGGCATTTGCTGGTTGTTGTGGTCTAGTAACTTCTGGAAGTTGACGAACTGACCCTGGGCGGTCTCAGGACGTAGGTATGCGGGAAGATTGGACGAGGGGCCGATGGAGGTCTGGAACATGAGGTTGAATGCGACGGGGGGTAGGAGTTCACCGTTGGTAGCGGGGTTCTTGATGTCGTACTTCTTCATGAGGAGGCCGAGCTCTTCGCCGTTGTAGTTGTCAATCTTGGCCAGCACCTCCTCAATCTCCTTGACCATGGAGTCCTCCAGCTTGACGGCCGAGATGTTCTTGACCTTCTTCTTTTTCTTCTTGGGGTCCTCCTCCTCGGCCTCGACTTTCTGGCCGCGTGCCTCCTTGTCGCCCTTCAGCCTAGCCTCGAGAACCTCTTCGACCAAGTGATCGGCTCGGAAGATCTCGCCCGTCTTGGGGTCTTTGCACATCCAGTCGGCGAACTTGTCCACGTGCCCGGAGGTCTTGAGGACCTCGTGTGTGGTGAGGATGGTGGGCTCGACCTTGAGCATGTCCTCCTCGAGGACGAAGTGCTCGCGCCATATGTCGACGATGTTGTCGGTGAGGGCAGAGCCGGGCGGGCCGTAATCGTAGAGGCCGGCGACACCACCGTAGATGTCGAACGAGGGCGCGTAGAAGTATTTGTGCTACAATGGCTGCTGTTAGCACAATTGGACAGTGTTTGGGCCGTCGCACTCACCTTCATGAGCTGCTCGAAGGCAGCGCGCTCGAAGGGCTTGCCCTTGTGGGTCGTGGTATCGCTCGGCATGGCGACGTTCTTCCGCTGGGGCAGGGTGACCTTGTATCGCAAGAGGGGTGGTGTGGACGAGAAGTGCTTGGTGGGATGAGTCGGCGGAGGTGGGGCACGATATTGGACGGGCCTCCTACGTAGAGGCAGACGCGCAGCAAGTTGGGGGACGCGCACTGGAATTAGGCGGCGCATATACTACGGCTCCTCTCTTGCATGCGACAAGAGAACACTAATGAGCGACGCGGTCTAATGTACAAACGGGCTACAAACTTCGGGCACGGAAACCAAGAAAAGCGATGCTTCGAATCTCGACACGCCTGAGGCTCTGCTAATGTGTGGCGCGCCAAGATTGCGGAAAAGCACAGGCCGCGGCTCCACCGAAAAGTTGAGCAGCACCGTCTTGCGGACTCGACGGCCAGTGCGACACACACCAGACCACACACTCCAATACGGACCAGTAACGTGACCCCGCTCCAACATGGCCTTCTCCAAGAGCCCCAATGTCGCCTCTGGGATCAAGCCCAAGAACAAACTGCGCAGACAGGCGGCGCATCTCTCTATCAAGAAGGCGCGCGAATCAGAAAAACGAGACGCAAGACTCCGTCGCAAGCGCGAGGAAGAGAAGAACCCTGCGCTGCGAGAGGAGCGCTTAGCACAAAACAAGCCTGCGACCATCGACGGCAAGCGAGTATGGGACGAGCCAGTCGGCGACGAAGAAGATGCGCTGGGTTGGGCCATTGATGTGGAGAGACTGGCAAAGAGGAGAAAGGTGGAGCAAGAGGAAGCGGCACAGAAGGACGGCGAGGATGTCGAAGACGGCGAGGACGAGGGCATACTAGCGAAACTGAAGAAGCGCGACCAAAAAGCAGGCGGAGCCAACTCGGACGACAGCCAGGACGACGAAGCAGACAGCATGCTCGACGACTCCGAATCCGAACCCTCTCTCGACTCCAACGATTCCGACCTAGACTCCGACGCCGCCTCTTCCAAACCCGGGAAACGCGCCTCCAGTCCCAGCGCCACATCCACAGCAACGAACCTCGAACTCTCGCCCGAGTTCCTCAAGCAAAAGTTCCCCTCGATATTCAACCCGCGCACCGACGACCCCCAGATCCTAATCACAACCAGCATCAACTCGACGCTGCACAAAGAAGCCGAAATCCTCACCTCCCTCTTCCCCAATAGCACCTACATAAGACGGACCCAGCACGTCCACGCGCACAAGTACAGCGTCAAGGAAATCGCCGGTTTCGCCAGCGCACGCGGCTACACAGCCCTCGTCATCCTCATGCAAGCCGAGCACGAGAAGAAGCCCGACGGCCTCGACATTGTCACCCTGCCCGACGGACCTCATTTCCACTTCTCCCTCACAAACTGGGTCGAGGGAAAGAAGCTGCCCCGCCACGCAAACGACACAGGACACTACCCCGAGCTCATCCTGAACCAGTTTAAAACTCCCCTCGGTATCCTCACAGCCCACCTCTTCCAGAATATGTTCCCTGCGAAACCAGAGTTGGAAGGGCGCCAGGTCCTCACGCTGCACAATCAGCGCGATTATATCTTTGTGAGAAGACATCGCTATGTGTTTAGGGATAAGCGCGAGACCGAGAAACCTATTGTGGGGTCGGATGGCAAGCCGCTTCCGGGTGTGGAGGATGTTAAAGTGGGTATGCAGGAGATTGGGTAAGTTCTACTATATCTTCGCACATGTTATTGGGAGTAGACTGCTAACGTAAATGGCCAGACCGCGAATGACGCTCAAACTCCGCAGGATAGATCGCGGTATCCAATTCAAGAGTGGCCAGGAGTGGCAGTGGAAAGGCCGTATGGAGAAGCAGAGGACGAGGTTCAATATGTAGATGTCCCACACTGGAGAACTCGTCTGCAACAATTTTCTTGCTTTGTTGCAAGCAAATACTATACTCTTTTGCACGATTCGTTGTTGAAGTCCATGCCAGCCCCGTGCTGGGAATTGACCAGGACACTCAATATATATCACGCGCATGTCTGTACAAGTGGTGGATGAATGCAAGAATAACATTGACCATACGATCTAGTACGGTCCGCACTCGCTGCACACTAACCCGGGTATCGTACAATACTATCCTACGCCACCACGTCCGATTCCCTTTTTAAACCACCCCAAGACGATGATAATTCCTCTCAACCTTTTAATGCGCCCTCCTCGTTCAAGCACTATGTGGCACGCCCATGTTGCCGCCACCTCGATAGCCAGTCCAAGAATGACCTCCGCGACCGCGATGATTAGAGGGACCAGATGAGTGACTGTTGTGGGATCGGCCACGACGATGCCGTCTCAAAACAGGGTTTTCGGGATAGTAATATCCCTCATGCCAATGGCCACTGGGTAAGCGATTGTGTGGCTGACGAACAAGGCTCAACCTTAGAAAGGCATTCTCGGGATACTATCTTCCTTTGTCAAAATGGCCACCGGCACCATGCGAATTGTTGCCTGGTAGAAACTCGCTGTATGACAAGTCACCACGGCCTGGGCTCAGAAGGGGAGATTTGGAAGACTCTCCTTCATTCCGCAAATGGCCACTATCCTACTTGTTGCCGTAGCCGCCGTATCCGCCCGGGGTCATCATGCCTGTGGGTCCAGGAGTATTCGACGCCAGACCAGCTGGGTGGTTTGTGGGTGTGCTTGGGCCGTCGACACCGTGTCTTGCGTTTCCGGGATAGAAGGTGTTGTTGACACCCTGCTGGAAGCCTGTCAAGCCTTGCGAAGCCCCCTGTGCGGCAATGACAGCTTGTTGCGCTGTTGCACTGGCTGGTGGTCCGACACCAGTGAGACCCCACATGTGGCCGCTCATCTCGTCGGGAATGGTTCCGTCGAAGATCTTCTTTTTCATGTCCCAGAAAACGACTCCTGTCAGCCATGCGTCGGATCCTGCTGTGTGTGAGTTGCCTACACGCTGGCAGCCGAGCTCATCGGCGAGATCTTGAAGGCCGGACTTTGTGCCTAGATTATTGAGTATATTGGTCGCAGTCGATCCGATAACACCGCGCCGAACAAGGTTGTTCGCATGTCGCCAAAGGTACTTGACATCGAGTAACTTGGGGAAGAAGACATTAACGAGCTTGCGGTACGTATCCTCGTCCTCGGGTAGCGATTGTGAGGTGAGCATCTTGAGCATGTATGCGAAGTCGTAACCACTATGAAACGATATCCAGTTGACATCTTCCGACAGAGTCATGCCCGATGTGGTGAGTAATGAACCGAACTCGACAGGGTCGATGCCTAGCTCCTTGTGCTTTTCGAAATCGGCGCCAGACTTCTTAAGCATCTGTATTGACTCCTCGTTGTACATGTCATCTTCAAGGGAGAACTGGAAGTTGAAGGACCATGTGCATGGGCAGACGACGATGTTGTTTGCATGTCGCTGCAACGATTTTGGCTTGTAGTTTAGGTCTGTAATGTCGAGATGCGACGGCGGGATGTCGCCTTGCACGTTGAAGAGGGTGACGCCGAGTTGGATGATCTTGAGCAAGTCGACGTTGCAGCGCACGGTCTGGTAGTGATATGAGGCTTTCGAGTTGAAGTCTCCGATAGGCCGCGCGACAACACCGGGGAACTCGGTGTCCTATTCAAAGAGTGAGCAGGAAGTCCATGAAGAGGGGGGAGAGGTAGAATGGAAACTACCCCATCAAAAGAAGACGTTGCGCCACCGTTGACGGCTGACTTTACACGCATCAGACAAAGCTCCCAAGCAAGAGCTGTCCGACCGGCTGGTAGGAAAATGGCATACTGACCATGCTGATGTAGGGGTACTGGTCGATGAGCGAGCGCAGCATGTCCATCTCCTGGTGCAGATTCGACCGCCAGACCTCTCGTATCCGCTGTCCTGCAATGCCTTTAGCGCCGTCCTGACCACGAGCAGCATTCTCTTGTATTTGCGCGCCGTGGGCAAATCTCATACGCGCTTCATGTCCGTCGAGTCCTGTGCCTCCGCCTGCCCCGCCAATTGCTGCTGCTGCCCCGAGCCCGGCTCCGCCCAGTCCACCACCCAGCGGTGCATTTGATTGGAAGCCGCCCTGATGTTGGCCGAAGAGGTTCAGATTGTGTGCCTGGTTGCCGCCGCCGAAGCCTCCATGTTGCATGTTCTGCTGCTGGTGTTGCTGGTGCAGCGGTTGTTGCTGCTGCTGTGGTATTGGGCCCGAGAGATGCGCGAAGGGATTCGAGAGGTTGTGACCGGGGAAACGGCCCCCGTGAGGCGGCATTATGAAGCTGCTGTAGTGGTTGCGACGATTCGCGTGTGCGTGGGTGAGGTGGATCCCGTGGATGTTCGTGCAGGTGACGGAATGATGGATCTTCTTAGATGCCTAGATGAAGCTCGCGAGAGTCGTGGGTATCCTCGGGCTGTACGAACGCGTCTGGGGTGGTGATAGCGATGGGGTGCGGGCGATGTGTGAATGGTGTGGGGAGAGCAACCGCAGTTGACGACGTGCGGAGGCCGTGCGTATGATCGCTCGCCGCCAAGACATGTCGAGATGCGACTGACGATGGTCCAGGAACTACCGACGCCAGCTTCCACAACCGCCTTGCCTCACACCAGCTGCTCACGAGGCTCATAGAGTATGTAAGCAAGCAATACGCGCTCAATTGACATGTTCTTCTCTGCGCGCAACAATTGCTGACTATGCCAGCTCCATCACCATGGCACCACGCCCCTCCATCACCGGCTTCGACCCCAAGAAGTTCGCCGCTGCCTCTGCGAACGGTACCAAGGGCGACCCATGGGCACGATAGTACGCTTTATGCCACGGAAATGCCCCATTCCACACATACTTACCTTCCCAGTGAGCAATGGCGATACACCGGACCCTTCACCCGCTTCAACCGCTTCAAGGGCTCCTTCCCCGGCCTCGGCATAGCCACCGTTGCATTCGCTGGATACCTCGTTGCCGAGCAACTGTTCTTCGAGGATAAGGGCCACCACGAGGAGGGACACTAAGAGGTGGTGTTGAAAGGAAGCGCATACAGACAAGGGCGTACCGGTTGCTTCAGGCTTCGTTACTGCGGAATTGTACATATGGAATACCACACAGAACGAGCAAACAAAACTTTCATCATCTCCGGTCACCTTGTTGAGCTGCTGGATCGCTGATGGACGGCGTTAGATGACAGTGAAGTCTGGCTCAACAACATGTCCAGCTGCCTTGGAAGTCCTCGCAAGAGATATCACAACAAGACTCGGATAATGATACGGATCAAACTGACCTCATCAGCTCGTCTATGTTCCGCAGTTGTGGTGAAGCCCACGAAGCGTACTCCCACTCGGCCAATTTACAGGACTAGGACAACGCGCTAACAATCGCAGGATGGACGCTGAGTTATCAAACGAACATCTTCTCCCAAGGCTATCGATCGCGCGATTCGTAACCGCAAGTACGCGAGAGCTTGCCGAATTCTGGAAATGTCGTGGAAGCAAAACGCTGCAGATATCCTGGACCTTACGCGAAGGATCATATACACAAAAACCGCCATATTTTCCAATCTAGTGATCTCGGTAGTAACCGGGTTATTTTGATGTCACTCTTCAATCGGCGATCGATGTGTACGACTAGTCCTCTCCCCTTTTCTATCGCAGCAGGGGAGTTGTCTTCGAAACGGAGCTCACGACTTGCTCTTATCAATGAATGTGGTATATAGTGCGCATTGATACACTCATGACTATCACCTATAGCCCGAAGTTTCCCCAACGAGCACGTCAGCCTTACTTTCCACCCTGCGCTCACATTCGGTCTTAGTATCCGAAGATCACCACTCTGGGTTCGAAGGACCATCAGTGCGAAGAAACCACGGCCTCACTCGCTTGCCCACAGCAAGGCGATCACGAGCGCCAGCAGCAAGCGAGCCATCGTCTCCCCGGCCTGTTCGTCCCAACAAGAAGACGGTCGTCAGCTCGTCCTCCACTTCCCGGCTGCCCCTCAGGTTCCCTGCGCTGGTAAGCAACAACGACATACGAGGTACGCACACCGAAGACGTAAGTATACCCAACTGGAACCTGCCGCATCCCCGCCAGTGTCTCAGACGGCCAGACTCACCACTCGGCGCCTCGTCATACATCTAGAACTTGCATCTCAAAACCATATCGAACTCGTAAGCCCTCAGCGCTCTGATCTCAAACTCACCACACACTCGGGACACGGGAGATATGTTCACGACAGGGGAGGGGTAGGGCAGGTAGGGGGAGGCGAGGGTTCGTGTCAACGTCGAGAAAACGGAGCGAAAGCGATCATCCAGTCGGTGTAATACCACGGCTTCTCTTCGGTGCACGCGGACTCGCGCAACGGCGCGCACGTTTTTGTACATGCGTGCTGTCACTTCTGTCACCTTTTCGGCCTTGGGGAACGGCTTCATCTAGCCGTGTGTTCGATTGGGGTAATGTTTAGGTCGTAGATCTGTTGCTTGATTGGGAGGGTCAGCCCGTTTGCGGAAGTATGGTTGCGACGTGGTGCTTGGGATGTGCCGTGATCGGCGCGGCAGGCATACACGGAGTTGTAATATGGCATGATGGGCTCTCTTCAGAGCGTGTGCGGAGGTTAGGGGTGGTGTGGTCTTCGGCCGAATTGTAGGGTATGGCTGTTCACTTCTTGGCTTGACCACCACTCACGCCGACTCACGGTTTCAGCGCTACAAGCTTACCGCTTGGCCCTGGTTCGTGCAACAAGTTGATGAACAAGCAGACTGCGTTCTCGGCGCGAGGTGTACTTCGTCGTGTCGTCTAGACTATCTGTCTCAGTAATACAGTGACGGCAAAACAAAGTTGATGAAAAACCTCCTAGTATGGGCGAAGCGCAGGGTAGAATCGGTGTTCTGGAACCGTCTTCTATG